CGATTAATGCCATTCACGATACTCACGATTGGCCGATATTCGATAATCGAGCGGTACTTGCCCGCTCGCCGGCATTGTTCGCTGTGACGTCATCGGCGACCGCTCCCATATGTGCTCGATATCCGCAAACTCTGTCGCGGTACTAAGAAACACTAATCAAACTTAATAACGTTGCCCACGCGTGTTTAATTCATCTCAGATCAAACGCCATGCTATTTTTGTGTCGTTCTCTTTCTTCACTAAGCGCACGGACTTAATAACTTTTTATAGTACACGGGAGGAATATTGTAGTTTTTCTTTTTACGAATTTTTTCTTTTTACGAATTTTTTTCAATCTTGTCATATGTTTCTAATAGTGCAGAGATAGACTGTTAGCAAGACTGTCTCTCTTACTAAAAAACATAATTTCTAACACTCGTTAGAAACATGGAAAATTTTTTAATAACACATTTCGTTTCCTATGATATGAATAGTACATACGAAACGAAAGGATAGTCAATTGGTGTAGAATGTCGATCTATTTCTCCGTTACAAATTCTATAGTAATTTTTTACTATAACATTTTTTTGTATGTACACTGAGAAAAGAAATATCTAAAAGATAAGAAATATTTACTCGGTAGGTGTATTAATAATATATTTACTTAAATCTAAATTCTTTTATTTAAGTGGAAAATAAACAATTGCTTTCATGAAAAAAAAGCCAAGGTTTCAAGAAGATTATATTTTCTTATTTGACAAATATTGTATATTAGTTTAAGTAAATGCATAATTTTAGAGTACCCACCGAATAAATATTTGTCATTCCTTAGACATTTCCCTCAGTGCGTAGTCATTTCATCATCGCAACAGAGGCGTTTAATCCGATTTCTCTTGTCGCTCAGCAAATATCAATGATAAACAATTGCCGAAAAAATTAGCCGCCCCGTGGTAGACTAACGTGACACGTCGATTTCCTGCGACTGAACGCAACGGGGACCTAATCCATCGAGCCGGTTTATTGTACCACGGAGGGTTCCGGCGGACCGACAGTCGGCCCTTTGCTTACCGAAGGCGTGTGTAACGTCGTGTATAGACGTTCTTTTGTTTGCTCGAGATGAACGCGCGGCGCACTATGCAAAAGAGGGGAAAGCGAGTTTGCATTCGGTATACTATCGAATTACAGCGCGCGCGCGCACGCACGCACGCACGCACGCACGCTGCGAGTTCCGCTAACAACTGCAGTCGCGTCGCCGCTACGTCAGCTATTGTTGAAAACGTACGTAACTACACGCGGAATCGTCTTTGGAGGCCAATGTACCTTCGGTTAACACGACCGATGTCGCGCGCACGCGACACGCGCGGTTTCCTGCCGTAAACCGCCCTGTCGCGCGCACACACACTCACACGCGTGCGACATGCGCACAGTTGTCCCTGAATCGAACGCTTTTTAATTCGGCGTGCAAATTTGATGAAACGCGACGCACGCCACTTAATGAACGATGTGTGTGAACACTTGACGTGGGTCTGCACACAGTTACCGTAAAATTCACTTTACGCCGTTCAAGAGTAAGAGAAAAAGAGACTTCGAAAAGGAATATCAATTACAAAATTATTTACACATCTTTGTTCAATCTACGGAATCTTCATTCAATGTACGCAACGCGTTACTTTCACAGAGGTATCTGGGATACGCGAAGAAAATTAATCTCCCATCGACATTTGGCGAAAAATTCCAAGCTCGCTCCCGCGAGATTAGTATTCCGCGCGAGGAGAACTCCGGGGAACTGAAAAATACCGCCTCTCGCTACGTCGGCGTCGAGCACTTTGCACGCCAGTTCGAGTTTTACTCGCAATTACGAGCCAGCTGCGGGGAACACATCGTCGAAAGCGGACAGTCCGGGCTCGCTCGTTTACTTCGTTTATTTACCGAGGTACTCGCGACTTGAGCTTTACTCGAGTAATTAGACCCGGAGCGCAGCGCTGTCTTCGAAAGCGGACGAAACGTCAGGTCTCTGCCCAAAGACTCCTCCTCTCTCACTCGCTCTTTCTCTCTCTCTCTCACACACACTTTTTCTCTCTCTTTTTCCGTTACACATACCTCGGCTACGAACTCCCCTCACCCGGCGCCCACCTCCATCCGGGATTCACTTACAATCACGATAGAAGCCCCGGAGATAACAACGCGGGAACGGGCGTAGTAACGGGCAGAAAGATCGTGTGTGCCAACGCGTCGCCGTCTGGTCTGTCGTGGCTGGATTTACTGCGTTGGGTGCGTTGTCTGCGCGCGAGCGCTCAAAATTAAAGTCGAAGCTCGTGGAATTACCGTCGAAAATAAACGGCGGTGTTCCGCGGAAGAATTCCGAACGGCGGTCTCGAGACGATGTGTGCGTATGTGTGTATGTGTCGTCGCCACCGCACCGGATCTCGGGGCGCCTCGCGAGCAACGGCGAGTTCGCGCCGCGAACGAGGGAACTTCCGCATGCCGCGGAATTCCGCTCGAAACTATGGCAGATGTTTCGAAAGCGTATCCGGCGGCGTTTTTGCCGGCCGATAGGATTTACACTTGAGCAGCGACGGTTGATTGCACGTACACCGCTCGCGGCAGGTCCGCGCGAAGCCGGAGGCGCGGGCTACGCCGAGTGAAAAGTTACTTCGTCGTCTTACGAGGGAGAGAGAGAGAGAAAGAGAGAGAAAGAGAGAGAGCAACGCTCGGCCGAACGTTGTTCGTGCAGTTGTAAACGCGTTTGGGGTCGTTAAACGCTCGAAACTGAATCTATACGGACTGCGCGGCGCGTAGCGAAATAATTAGAACGAGATAATTAGAGGTAGGATGAAGTACACGATTATTCACATCTCCGTTGTTCATTGACATTCCAGAAAACTTTGGTTTTTCGCGACCAGCGAAATCTGTTCGCAGTTTCAGTTGAGAAGATCTCCTTTGGAATCATAAAGAGTACAAGCTGGATGCTTGCTTAAGAGGAGGTTCTGATTTAGATGACCGAAAAACAAGATTTTTACGAATTTTTTGGAAATGAATGAATAAAAGTATCATTGTAGTGTTTTGATCCTACTATTAATCATTGTTTCAAGTGTACAAAAAAAGAACTGAAAGAACATTGAAATTCCGTTCAAGCTTTTGCTGGACGTTATGTCGTCAGACTTGTGGGCAATGTTACAGCTCATGTCCGGCGACGCTGTAAAAAATTCGGATGAAATACCCTTGAAAAAAATTCGCAAAAACCTCCGATTTTTTCGGCTGTTTAAACCAAAACTTCCTTTTAACCGTGATGCATGAAAGTCCAGGTTTTTGCTAATGACTAAGGCGGATGCTAGTAATCGTATAGTTTACTCTTTACCTAGATTATTAGAACTAAGGTGTCCAAACTAATGAATTCCTTTTAACCTCAGCGTTATTAAATTTTTTCAAAAGCAAATAGGGCGCAAGTGTACGAGATTTTGCGTCAGAGCTCGCTTTCCACTTGACAAGTAGCATTTAATGATCCCATGTTAACCAATCATTAGCACCAATTACGATTAACATAGTTTTTCTTTCTCCGTTTACATTGCAATTAGACGCGTGATCCGCGAAAGTAATCGCCGACCTAATGATAGGTAACCAAACGTCGGTCTCACCGATATCACCTGGCGCCGCGCGACTATTTAAATCTCCCCTCTGCCCGGTCGCGTGTATCTCGATCTGCGAAGGAGCCTAAGCGCTTTTCGCAAACGATCCACGCATTTTGCATAAACCTGATCGATATCGGTGGTTGCAGGCAACGAGGAAGCTTGGCCGTTTTTTCGCTCGTGCGATTCTCATCGGGTTACGTACACCGTGTTCTCGACACGGTGGCGAACGTCTGGCGCCTTATCGACGTCAGAATTTCGAGTCTCGTAAGCGGACGGGGCGGGGTATTTCGCGAAAAAAAGAAGAGGGAAAAAATGCGGCGCGCCGACGTGTCGCCGATTAGTCTGTCTCGCGAATTCGCCCCCGTTCGCTTGCATGCCTTATCGACGGCGGAGATGCAAATTTAGAAATACACGGCGACGTCGTGTCTAGTGGCTTCGATGCACGCGACCTTTACATAGTGCCGGCGGTGCGGTAGACTCCGCCGCGTGGCCGCAGACGGATATTTTTGTAATTGAAAATGATCGATCGCGAGCGCACCGGCGATAGTAATGAGGTTACCTACTTGAAAACGCGAGAAATTCAGTCCGAGTCGACGCACGCGAATCGCGAGAGACGATCGCAGATCGGCCGGATCTTATCGCGACATTGTATAATTGTTGAATAGCATTAATGCGTCTCACATGCGTGTGCAATTTTTTTCTGCTACGAGGACATTATGTAAATGTTACTTAACAATATGTAGATGTTAAAGATCACTTTCCCGATAATGTAAGTTAAAATGGAAATATTGTTCACATTTAATTCCTTAAGTAGTATGCGCCGGAAAGTCTCGCAATAAAATATGAAATACCTCTTGATTTCCTAAAACTTGCTTTCTTACTCATGGCGAATACAAATGAAAATTAGATAGAAGAGAGTTACCGAAATCGTACCTAGTCAATTTCTTTATTATTATTCAATATAAACGATATATAACGACGGTAAAAATGAGAAATGAATGAGCAATGAGACATATAAACAAAAATTCGCAGATCTTATTTTGTGCGTGTTACAAACATTCTAAAACACCAGGTACGATTGATGAGCAACTCTCCCCCACATTTTGTATTTGATTTTTCAAAATTTTTTAAAGAAAATAGCAATAAGGAGAAAAGAAATCCAAATATGCTTATTGAAAAAGAAACACTTTGAGGGAGTCGTGTAGACATTTTAAATCACCAAAGAGAGACGTAGAAGGGAGACGTAGAAATAATTCAAAACGCAAGTTTTGCGTTTCATTAATGTCAGTCAACAATGTTTCATTCTCTTATCCGACGCGACCGACGCAGTTTTCGCGTCGGGAAAGCGATTCTCGGCATGCGAGCTGTAAAACTGTGCAAGCGTTTACTCACTCTAACCGTTGATTGATGTACGAAGGCAAGGCGAAGGCAGTTACGTACCTGAAACAAGAAATAACAGGTCGATATCAGTTTTCGCGCAATTTCGACGTTATTTTATTACTCGACTTCGCGCGTTTCATTTTTCCGGACAATCGCGACCTCCCAATGAAACTTATGGCCGACGGCGATAAAACTATATAGCGCGCAACACTCTATAAAAGCGCGTCCAGTAAGGTCACGTATTTAATAACGCCATATATCGGGCGCAGATAAATTGGATACGGCACGTATCAAGATTTACGCTCTTAACTATTGCTTCGTTGTAGAGCCGTAGCTTTTGATTCCTCAATAAGACACGCGCTCTTCGCTCTCGCTTTTTCGCGAATTGACCGGCCGGTCGACTCCATCCCGCCGTGCTATAGAATTGAACGAGATGAACGCGCGATAAAACGTGACAAAACGCCGCCTTTAATCTACGTGCTTCAAAGTCGCTGGAAAAATGGACGTGTTTCTCCGTTTTTCCTTTCTTCTCCTCGGAGAGCGCTCTCATTCTCGTTAATTCGGTCTAAACTTCGTACCGCGTTCGCAAATTGCTAGCGTAGAAATTGAGACCTCGCGGCGAAAGCGTATAATCGAGGAATCTTCCCACACAAAATCCGTTGTAAGACAAAAACAACGGATATTAAAAAGTTTACAAGCGATTTCTTCTTTATCCAACTATCGTACTGCTTGTCATGCGTTTGACCATATTTACGTAGGAGATCAAAGGAAGATAAACATTAATTTAATCGAAACTTTGTACCGTGTTCGCAATCGCGAACGCGAAAATTCAGATCTCGCGGCGAAAGCGTAACAGAGGAACCTTTCAATGTGAAACTCGTCGTAAGATAAAAACGGATATTAAAAAGTTTACACGCGACTTCTTTATTCAACTATCGTATTTTACTTGTCGCGCGTTTGCGACTATATTTTCGTAGGAGATCAAAAGAAAATAAACATTATCGCATCGCATGAATAGACGAGGGAGAGAGGAAAAAAAAGTGATCGGCTTCGTCGTAAATTGAATTCGGATATTGGTCGGCGCCGCTTGCGCACGCAGTTACATGAAATCGCATATTTAATTCCGATAGGAATATAAGCCGCGCATCAAAGGAGCCTTTGAACGTCAAAGGAGATATCCTCGGGAGAAGAGCCAAGCATCGGCTGTCGCGATCCAGTTTACATTCGAGCAACCTCGAGCTCTCGAAGACGCAGCCGAGGAGAATCGTCGGCGGGATGGAGATGCAATATCATTCAAGAATAACGATACGTAATCTCCGTGAGGGATACTCCGAGTATATATACATACATATATATGTATGTATACTCGAATGTTTCCCCCTCCCCTGAAAGTATTCTGCTCTTCTCTCGGGGAATCTCACGTTATTAACATGTTGATTGCCGCGGTGGTTGTCGGCGTTATAATATTGTATGCATATATATGTCGCAGCTCACAAATTTACGCATACGGAGACAATATTGTAATTTTTTTTTTCTTTTTTTCGTATTTGTAATTCTTTTCACAGTTTTACTGTGAAAAGTGCAGGATTGGACTGTCGTTACGGTGTGTTTTGCTAGGAGACATAATGTATTAACAATACATTTCATGCTATGAAAGAAATACTTGAAAATATATATTTTTTTATTAAGATATATAAAGTTTATTTCTGTGAAATGTGATAGATCTATAAATTTCTCTATAAAGTTCCACGTCACTCGCGGCGGTCCCTTTATAAATTTCAATGTGTTTTTTTCTCAATTTTAGTTCCTAAAATATGAATAGCACATGTAAAATGAGAGGATATAATCTATTACTGCAGGATATCAATATTCCTCGGTTGCAAAATTTTACAATTTTTAGCATTTCTCTCCATATATGCGGAGAGAAAAAGTTTGATCAAACTAATGTGACAGTGAACTATCCAAATACGTTTTGGTCGAGAAAAGCAAAATTTCTGTTTCTTAGGGACCAACAAGAACTGTTAATGAAAACGTCTCCAGCGTGTAATAATTGTAGCGTTTTCACCGCGACGGTTTCGCCACTTAAATCCGAAGCGGAAGAATCTATTTGACGAATAAGTTGTCCCGAGGCTCACGCGGCGTCTACAATTAGACTTTAACCTAACCGGCAGCCGCCGCGTAAGTGAGTTTACGTTGGTAGGGGCTCCACGTAACACACTCGCACACGAAATGGCAGACTACGAGGATTGCCGCGACGGAGACGTTACGTACTAAGTTATCAAAGGTTTGCAAGGGCAGCAGTATCCTCCTCCGCCAAGTTTCCTCTGAGGTCTTAAAGGTGTCCCGCGCGCAGCACGCGAATTTCTCAAGTTATGATTTAGTATCCGGTGGGTGGTCTGGGGCGAGATCAGGAGGATGTGTCCCGGGGAATACGCTCGAGTGGAGAAGCGGCGCGGAAGTACTGGGGTGCCTCCGCGTCAACCGTGTTTCTGTTTAGAGAACCGTTTCCAGAAGCCGCGAATGATGCGGACAATAAAAGAAGAAAGAAGCGTATCTCTCTCTTTCTCTCTCTTTCTCTTTCTTTCTCTTTCTCTCTCTTTCTCTTTCTCTCTCTCTATCTCTCTCTCTCTCTCTCATTTAATGTTGAAAATAATATACTCGTGTACAAAAAAAGTAGAAAATATCTTCCCCCGAGATTGTCACTGTCGAATTCGAAAACACTCGGTAGAGACACTCTCAGTAACAAGCGCAAGGGGGCAGACGAAAGCGCGACTGTACGTTCCGAGGAAACGAATAGAGTAGAAGGAAGCGAACGAATTCAAGGGTGACGGAGGATAGAGCGAGAGAACGTGTGTGTATAATATACAATGAGGAAAGGAACGAGGAAAGAAAGACGGCGGCTCACATGCAAGAAAGAGAAGGACAAGTGGCGGCCGGACGAGAGGAGAAAACAGGCGGCACGGCGAACACGGTGCGCTGAGGGCGAGAGGCGGAGGAGTAAAAGTGGGATGAGAACAGAAACCGGAAGAGGAGAGCAGCGCGGGGGAGAGAGGATGCGAGAGGTCGAGAGGAGGAGTAACTTCCTAACAAGGCGGTTAGTTGCGGCTTAGCAACGCTATGAACGCGAAATATTGCGAGCCGGCGGGTTCTCCCGCCCAAGTCGCATCCACCCCTTCTCCTCCTTCTCTATCACCTCCCCCTCCCCCTCCTCCTCCACCACCTCCCTCCTTCGCTCCCCTTCGTCGGGCTGCTTACTCCGAACGTCTGCGAGCGCCTGTGTGTTGCTGCGTGGCCGCGTCTAATACCGAAGTAGCGGTGGATGCGGCAAAATTTCGACGCACCGATAATCGATCGGCCGCCGCCATCGCGACACGATCCCTTTCGACGTGTACGCTGCACACGTCAATCCTTTACGACGACGACGAGGTCGTGAGGTGAGAAATGTTGCGCCGAAGAGAGCCCGAAGAAATCTATTTTCTGGCCGAGACGCGAAAGTAATCCCCGTGGACGCGCGACGCTTTTTTCACGACGCTGATAACGACGAGTTTTCCGACGAACGGACAGAAATCGCAGGGGTTCAATTTTGAATCCACCATCAGCGGGGCGCCTCGACAAGAACCGCGATCGTCGGGTTCGTCTTAATTAGAACGTAATTCGTCAGCGGAAGACTTCAGCTTCGAGATCAAAGGATATAATGACGGGCATCGGGAGTTTCCGCACGAAACATAACTTTCTTTGAGAAAGTTCCACGGTTGATTCGATTAAATCCAAACGGCAACGCGCTCTCTTTGACGCCGCGATCTAATTATTTCCGCGACTGCCGTTGTAATCGGTATAATAACTAGGAACGCGAGCGGAAGCTCGCTCGCTCGCTCGTTCGCTCGTATTCGATCGGCGTGCTTAGATATGCCGGCGTGCTGTGCCTGTTGCACCGTAATTTGCATAGATGCGCGAAGCTGCACATCGAGGCAGCCGGCAAGATCTCGACTTTCCTCGCTCATAATCTGCGTCCTTTGTATCGAGGATATGTTTAATCCCCGAACCCGCGCTAGTCTCTCAGACGCGAAAATCCCTTTGCCGTATGTATGACATTTGCAAAAGTAATAATTCCAGTACCACTGAATGTTTATCGCTCGCGCACGACAAACTCGCCGAAGCGTCAATCACTTGTCGCGATTTAAAAACGCGCGCGAATGCACTCGCGTAAATTTCGACGCGATACGAATCGCGAAAATGAGGAAATAGATGTCAGAGGGTCGCATAGATCTCTCCGAGTTCCTCGATAAAATTTTCACGGCCAAATGACAGCTATTGGATTAACCTCCCTCTGTCGTTTGTTATTAAGATACAGCTGTAAATCGCCGCGGCCTGTAAATATCCCGGATAGAAAATCACGCTGCGAACGACGGAAGCGATTGATTTAATCGGCCATTTAGCTTCGCGGTAGTATCAGACGGCCCGTGTGCAACCGGGCGTCGCACGAACGTCCGCTTGTGCGTGCGTGCGTGCGCGCGCGTGTATACCTGCGCGCGTGTGTGGTTTCCGGGGACGGATATAGTTTTTATTTATTTACACAAGGGTCGGCTGCCGCCCTTAGCCGCCGCGTAGGATTGCAATAGAGCGGCTGGTTTATATTTTATTCATCCCCTATTGAATTCGGGCTCAATCTCACGAAAGTGTCTCTACCATGGCCACCCGGTCCTCCTCGTGCTCTCTTTGCTGTGTCTCTTCTGACTCGGATCAGAATCCCCTTCTCGCCCACCTTCCCACCCTCCCCGTTCCTCCCTTCTCCTACCAACTCTGCCGTCTCTACAGCTTCTACGTGGTGGGTATTCCAATCTCACTATGCTTCGCTCGTCCTTCTCTTTCTCCTCCTTCTCTTCCTCATACTTCTCTTGCTCTCCTCCACCTCTCTCCTGCTTGTCTACCGAGAGAAAGAGAGAGAGAGAGAGAGAAAGCGAGTGAACGAGCACCTCTTTCCTCGTTCTCTGTCCTCCCTTGGTCTGTCCCGCTCTCTCGAAGGCCTTCCCGCCCCCCATCCGGAGCTCTAGACTCCCTTTAAATCTGTACCGCGATATCTTCCCGCGTCCTCCCTTTCTCTCAACTTTACAGTCGTTTGCAGCCTTCGAGCGACACGCGTCGTTTATCGAGAGCAATACCATGCGTTGATTTACCTTTGTACATGCGAGATCCAGCGGAATCAAACGCCGCGAATCGGCCGCGAGCGTATTCGTAACAGCCACGGAAATACGGGAGAGGAAACACGCGCGCGCGTGTACGTATTACGTGTGCACGTGCGATCTCTCGAAGGTACGATTCGCTTTCCGTCGACGTTATTCCGGGAACGCCGGCACGCGGTAGATCGGCTTCGTAATTGCGACATGTGGGCTCGTCGCGGTAGACGGCGCGAAGCCACCGTTTTCTTCATAATGCACGCCACGTCGCGCTCTCTCGAGCCCGTGTAATCACCGTGAGACTTCGGAGTAGACAACGGACGAATTCCTCCGTTCTCGCCCTCCCCCACCTACTCTACCCTATTCTACCCTACCCTACCCTATCCTACCCTATCCTTCCTTCCTTCCTTCCTGCCTTTCGTCTATTCCCCATTTCCGCGCCGCTCTCGAGTCCTTCACGCCTTGCAATTTCAGAAGTGTCGAGCCAGCACTCGTACCCAGACGCTATTAAATATTGAGAAACTCTATGCCCTTCGAACACCCCCCGCTGCGCCACCCGCCCATACATATGTACGCCTCCGTATCTCTGCATACGTAACAATGCGTATAAAAGATCTCGTACGGCCCGACGCGCTGCGGCATCGTTACTGTGCGAAACTCGGACGTACTCCGAAGCGAACAAGCTACAAGACAGCCGGACGTTGCAACAGAACGAACCGAATGGTAAGATATGCGCGGGGCTGTGTCTACCCTTTGGCTGACGCAACATACCAAGATTCGACGTCATGTATATCTCTGGCGTCATATTATATATTCCTCTGACAATCATCGTATTTCTAATTTCCGATTAATAAATCCGGCGGTCGTTCGCTTTTATTGCTACTTGAATGAGGTACTCGGTGAGATGTGAGAGACGCGGACTCGACACGTCGCGACAGGCATCGGTTGTATGTGTCGGAGGAAACGAGCAGATTATTCGCTGCTGACATACTTACGATGCTTCCCGACGATCGCACATCGCCATTTCGGCACTCCCGACACTTTTTTCCGCGTGAGACTCACTTACGGGCAAAACAAGCGCAAAACACGAAGCGATATCGATCGATGTGCTAATGGCAGCTGCTCGACACAGAAAGGTCAATAATGGCGACGCGATTGATGATGTACGCGAAAATGCGCGCGCGAAAACGTTGTCGCGCCGCGACAACGACGCGGCGAGCGAGCGAACGCGCAAACACGCACGCCACCAATCGATAATCGCGCGCGCGACTGATCGATAAACGCGTTCGAGATACCCTTCTTTCGCTGAAATTTCCGTCTGTCGCGATAAAGTGCAGCGAATTATTACATCCGACGAATGTAACTCCGAAATGTTGATATTCGCGTCATAAGAAATGCTAGATAAGAATACAGTTGGCCAAAAACTTTTAGTAACTATGCTAACTAGTGACAAAGTATCCGCGAGTTAAACCAATCGCAAGCCGGTATTTATAGTTCAACTTTGAAATTATCTTACGTTTATCTTCAGATACTCCGCGGCCAATGAAATAATTCGTATAATATATGAAAGTGAACTTAATATACGATCTTAAGCGTAAGATTTGATTGTGAATAGCGTTCACAGTCGTGCTTTACGGACTCAACAGCATTGCTAGTTTCAATTGGACCTTAACCTAAGTGTACAGAGCGCATCGTTGTACGACTTCACGTTTCAACACCGTTCACGTCTCGTCGCGTATTTTTGGCGTACGTGATCAATCGCGCTGCCATTTCCGACCTGTTTACGTCGGGCAGCCACCATTAACACGTCGAGCGCTCCGCGTTTTACGCGTCTTTCGCCTGTCCAAAGTGAATCTCGCACGGAAATAAATATCGAGTGTCGAAATAGCGATGTACGATCGTCGAGAAGTATCGTAAGTACGTCGGTAGCGAATAATCTTCTTATTTCGCGACATTTACGTGCCACCGTTGCGACGTGTCGAGTCAGCGTTTTACACACTTGTAAGTTCCACTGACTCATTCAAATGGTATGACAGAATCGGACGACCATCGAATTTATTAATCGGAAACTAAGAATTCGATGAAAATTTGAGTAAAAAAGAAAAGTGATGCCGAATCTCGGATTGTAACATCAGTCTGTTAACAAGAAAATGATGTCCTATAGATTGCATCCTTGTCGGACCGTGTAATATTGCGGCCATCTTGAATTTCGATCTTTTCGCATCGAACAACCGCCATGGACACATCGATCGACATCGCTTCGCACTTTATGCCTCTTTTGCCTGTCGCAAGTTAGTCTCGCGCGGAAGTAAATATCAGAAGTGTCGAAATAGCGACGTACGATCGTCGGGAAGTATCGCAAGTACGTCAGTAAGAATTAATCCTCCCACTTTTCGACATACACAACCGATGCTTGTCGCGACATGTCGAATCGGCGTCTCTTACACTTGTAAGTACTATTGATTCACTCAAGTAACAATAAAATCGGACAATCGTCGAATTTATTAATTAGGAATTAGAAACGCGGTATTAATTCCAAAGGAATAGACAATGTAACGCCAGAAATATACACGACACCCAATGTTAGTTAAGTAACTGTTAGCAAGGGATTGCACACTCAGTCCAGCAAAATTCCGCGTGGATATTTCCGGGCGATTTGTCATTTAGTAAATAATGATCCGACACAGAGCTGCTCACATGAAACTCTACGTTTCATATTCAACTCTGCGAATCACATACACACATGTATTCAGATACGAAAACTGAGAGTGTCGGATATTTTTATCGTATAAAACATGAAGTTTTGCGCGATTAGCGAGTCAAGGTAGGATGAAATCGTATAATAATACCGGTTTCATTCGAACCTCTGATGCGATCGCTCCTTTAATACCCATCAAGGACGAAACACGAAGCATGAAAAAGAAATCCGAGATAAATCTCGACACGCAATCCGGTACTTCGACGGTCCATCTCTCGATGGAAATTTCGCGTCAGTGACCGCGACGGGAGCGTCGCGAAAGCAACGTCCGTACGTCCGTCCGTTCGTCTGTCCGCAATAAGGGCAACCGACGAGGATAACACGAGGTTCCCCCGACGACGAAGAATCCGTGTCACGCTTTGGAGCGCGCTAAACGTGCTTCACAAGATAAAACGCGGCGGAGTCCAGACGCGTACGTCGTACGTGTGTAATTGTCGATCGGGCGTCTTACGGCCGGCACATCCGAGAAAAATGCGAGCCCGTCGTCGTAATTCGTCGAGTATCGAGGAAAACGTTGTACGTCCCGGGCGCGCGGATGGTATATCTCAAAGCTGGCGGCTACGATAAAGTCGGGCGTACGTGCCGCGGCCGGGGACCGCACGAATAATCGCAGCCATTTAGTTTCTCCGGCACCGGCCATCATCCGCAATTTACGATTCCGTGTTTATTCTACGGAACGTAAAGTAAAACGGTCCCCGGCATATAATAGCGAAATCGATTGCCCCTGCCCCGCGAGGAGAGCCGGCGAGCCCGCGGCCGTTTATTCGGAAACTTGGAGCTATGAGATATCTCCGCGTTAGGTTAGGTTGGCTTTTCCACGCGATCGCGATGGTACATAACACAGCCGTGTGTTAGCGGCGCGAGTAAACAGGTAAATATAAAAATATGCGGTTTTCACATCACCCAAAATACAAAATACGACGGCGGTCGAGTGGAGTAAAGCAGAATTTACTGTGATAAAAATGAAAACGAATGCAATAAAAGTCGATAACGCAAGTCGCCTGTGCAAGACGGTAATTTGCACAATCGCCGTGCGCGAGAAAAAGCTGCTTTTTAACGGCTCGCGCGCTGAATTTGCATAAAATCGTGGAACTATCTCCGCGCGTGAAATGCGGCAAATAAATCGACTAAATGGGGAACACAGAGAGAGAGAGAGAGAGAGAGAGAGAGAGAGAGAGAGAAAACTATTCTTACTAGTTTGAACGAACTCACATTATTGTTGCTTCGCCGCGCACAACGTATAAAACCGTTTTCTCTTAATGACACGAGGTTCCTGAAAATAGGTTTTAAATCACGCGCTCGTATTCAGCTTCCTCTCTCTCTCTCTCTCTCTCTCTCTCTCTCTCTCTCTCTCTCTCTCTGCTTCTCTCTTCCTCTCACCCAGCGCTAACACGACGGCACACGCGGCTCGTCTAACGACGAGTGCGCGCCTTTACGAGTACGGCCGGTCCTTTCGCGCGCGCGATAATTGCAACATATTCTCGCAATTATTCGAGTCCGAATAATTTCCCGCGGCGTGCGAACAAAGACCGAAGCGTCGCCGGATTTCCCTGTGAAGCACCGCGTGGGTTCTTCTTTCGGTTTGCTCGTTCGCTCGTTCAGCTGTCCGCCGGACAGACGGACGGACGGAGGCTTATTTGCGGTGCGCATATCATGGCGCAAGCTTTCGTCCGTGAGAAGTGCCGAAAGCACTAGCGTGCACACAGACTTCCACAGCAACGATATACACCGCAATTAGCGAACGAGAGGCGACGTTCGTGTCGGCAGAAAGGCAGGAGAAAGAGAGAGAAAGAAAAGGTGGAGAGACGAAGGCAGTCCGGATGAGGCGAATTCCAAAAGAGATGTGCTTTTAATTATACTAACGCCCGGTGTCCGATTAAATGAACGGAGGAGCCAAACTCGCGAAGCTCGGTGCAAATTTAATTATAGGGAAAGAGAAGGGCGCCGATGTTGGCAGGGCAAGGAAGCAGAAAGGGATACAAGGTAAAAAGGAGGAACTGCGAGAACCGAGCTGGAGACTATGCGTGTGTCTAAGCCAGCAATAGAGAGAGGAAGACGCAGAGAAAAAGAGAGTGAGGGAGGGAGGGAGGGAGGAAGAGAGAGAGCTCGTGATCGAGGTAGAGAGAAATCCAAGTATTTATATGACGGCAGTTTGTTTAGGCCGCTTATTAATGGGACGGAAGAGGGTCGTTGTAATTAAGGGAACCCGGGATTCCATCCAGTGGCACACAGAACGCTCTACGAGGATGCGCTCGAGAACGTCGCGTCGCGTCCCACCGAGGACGTCGACATGTTACCTATGTCTCTCGTCCTCCTTCCACCTCTTCTCGTCGTCGGTTCTCTTTCGTCGCGTCTCTTCGTTTTCTCGCGCGTATACCGTACTTGCCCGTTTCCGTCGTTCTCCGCACGGATCGACCCTTTAACGTTTAAGTCGGTACGCGCCTCTTTCTCCGCTTTCGCGCAGACGTCTGGATTGTCTTTCGGCGGGAAACAAAGCGCATTCAACCGTCGAAGGCAGGAACCTTTAGCCGCTGCTCCCTTCGTCGTCCGTTCATATTTGCTATTCGAGAAGACGTCTCAAACAGGCCCGGGAAACGACGGGGCGACGAGACGAGGAGGAGGGAGCTGCTGCTGCATACGCGCGCGTGAGCATACCCGTTAAATTAACGTTATGCAAATATCCTGATGTCGGGGAGCGCCTCGACGACGGTAATTAGAAAATTATACTTTAATTAGGTACGAATAAGCTGTGAGCAGCATGTGAAAGGGAATGGCCGAGCGTGTCGGCTTACTAAAGTTAAATTCTAAATCGTTCGCGCCGAATGCGCCTGTCGTAATTCGCGAAACGGCACAATTACAATCGAAACTAGTGTTGAATTACTTAAAACTAATGCAACTAGATTATCGTCTTAATTAAGTAGTCGACGAGATAATTTTATATGTATTTTACACACAATGTCTCAAAGACTTTTTTATTTTTTACTCAAACTTACGTCAAAAAGACTTTCTTACTTATTACTCCGGCTTATACCAAGATTAACGTAAGTTGGAGCAAGAAGTAAAAAAATTATTTTGCTTGCGCGCACCCCTAAACTCCACCTTCCTTATACCAGAAGTATTTCTTTTAAGCAATAAATAAGTTATCTTTGCTTCTTTTATACACCAACTGCACACATGTCCCAACCGGTTATGGCTATCAAGAACCAAACACAGAGAAATGCGCGACCCGACTTCATTGAGAGATACAATTCTCAGCTTATTTAATTAAACGCCGGAATCGAGATAAGCGAAGCGCCGTTCCACCGAAAAAAAAATCTCAGCGAGAGAAGACGGAGCCCGAATATTATTTGGAAAAACTCGCGACTGAAAGAACGTTCGCGGACGTTACTTCTTAAATAAACGACGATTAATTTGAAGAAACAGATTCGGAGGAATAATGAGGATGTGTCGTCGGCACATCCTGACAGCTTGTTTAAATATTTAATGCCGCGTCTCTCGCGACGTTAATATCATATTTTCAGTCAATACGAAATTCGCGAGAGAGGAATTTTCCGCCGTGCCATGCTGTGCGCGCGTATCGCCTTTTAAACTCCCATTCCGCGGAAAAACAAAGCGTATTCAAAGCAACCTACTGTCATTTATATTCATACGACTGCACCCTTCCACGTCCTTAAGTGTCTTGCGATGGAATAAAATACTCTCATTGTCTCCCTCAACCCCTCCGATTCTCGCTGTCTCTCTTTCTCTCTCTCTCTCTCTCTTTCTTTCTTTCTTTCTCTCTCTCTCTTTCTCTCTCTGCCTCTTTCTCCCTCGATTTCTCTTTCGCCTTCCCGTCCGTTCGTTTTTATTCCATTCTCCGAACAAGAAAACGGGAATTCATTTTATCGTTACGGAGTATCCTTCCGGAATACTGTCGCTTTTACGGCGAAATGGTCGCAGCATACTCAGTGCAATCAAATAAACGTACCCGAACAACACTGGCCGCGCCGGCAGTGCTGCCGACCGTATTCGCGACTAAATAATAAACGATAATTAAAAGCTACTTTGATCACAGCCGAGCTCACCGCGTGCCATTTGACTCGTTTACAGGATCGGCTTCAGATTTCCATTCGCCAACAAATTTGCAATTATTCTGAAAACTTTTTTACCATGACGTCCGTACTCCTCTCGAAATCCGGAAAATAATGTTCGCCAAATCTGTTTAATTGTGAAACAAAGTGATCTCCTAGTTTTTTCGTTAATCAGTTGAAGCTCGCACTTTGCCGAAATGCCATGCGTGACCTCGTTACGAAAATATAATTTCACGCGCAAAAACCAATCGACATTTTATCTTATTGGATAAATTCCGTTGTAATTGAACGGGACACATATCTCCGCTTGCATATTCCCAATCGCATTCCAGAAGTATGACAATTTCTAGCGGGAGAGCCGACGGTCGTATGCACAAGCCAGGCACGCGTTCGCTCTGTTGACGCACGTAGCCGACCGCGGTGGTAGTCTACGGTTCTTACGTTTCCCCGTGACCGATCGACACGAGGCTCGCGGTTGCGCTCGATCGCGCAACATTTCGTCATTTGTATGCGTCTCTCTCCTCGGTCCCTGCCGGTACGCCGCAACGACGTCTCGCAACGTAATAAAATACTCCAAGTTTCGCTACCCCTCTCACGTAGCGCGCCACCCCGTTCCCGCGCCACCGCGTAAAGTGAAAAAAACAAGGAGGTCGGCGGGGGACTCGGTTAATAAAACGCTGTCAATTGACGTGGGGAGCCGCGCGCTGTTTTCTCCATTCCGTCGATCACCCCGCCGTCTCGTCGGGCAAATTCCTATTTCGCGTTAGAATAAAGCACGTTCGAAGGAAGAGCTGGCTGTCGTCTATATGCATACGCGGCCTCGTCCTTAAGTGTCTCGCGTCGAAATAAAATATTCGTGGTGTCTTGTTCTCCTTGTCTCTCTCCCTCTTTTTCTCTCCCTCTCGTGCCGCCACCGACGGCACCTCTCTCATTGTCATTCCATTCCGTAAAGAGAAGAGACAGCGAAGTGGGGAAGGGCGGGCGGGCAGGCAAGGGGAGGGCTGAAAAACGGAATTCGTTTAACGGTTACCGAATACATTTCTTTCGACAGTAGACGTCAATTAACTACACCCAATTCGGACTGACGTTAAACGGGGACACAACGAAGAGAGCACGATGGAGGCGAAGGAAAGGGGTGAACGAAGCAGGGTGTGTACGCGAGAGAGAAAGAGAGAGAGGAAGAAAGGAGAGGAGGACGGGTAGAGGAGATGGATTTAGTCCGTTCAATTATGTGACTCGAGTGGAAAAGGATGGCTCGCTCAACGTCACGTTTTGCTACGCCGACAGCCGAGATGGGATTTCAACGCGGAACGTTTATTTCGCATCATTCGATTAATTAATCGCGCATTAAAACTCGACAGGATATGCATATGCGACGCATATCGCAGTGCCGTCGCCACCGCCGTCGCGATCAATGGGATTTGAAGCCGGGCGAAATCCGCGACCGTTTCCCCGGGATATGCCGGATGCGGACAAAAGAACGCGGCTTCAGAATCGACCACGGGAATCGGTCGTAAAGTCGAAATTAAGCGCGCGCGCAATTGCTAATTAACTATCGTAGAGGGAATCACGACCGGTGCCGCGCGGGAGTGAATACTCCCGCCGTAATTACCCTTTAATTCGTCGGGACTATTTCAATTATATCTTCCAGCTGGGTGTGGCAGCGCCCCCTGCAGCACTCGAAAGGGAAAGTACGCGGCCGAAGATCTCTCTCAAATAAAAGCTGCACTCGTTTTCGGAAACGCAAGTTGCAATCGTATTGCGAAATGCGGACTTTTAATGTCGCAATGTTAGCCCGACGAGCGAGCGCCGGGAAATGTTCGGATCGAGAGCCAAAGCGCGCGTACACGTTGAAATAAATAATAAATAATCGATAAAACGAAATAATCCTCGTTAATTGGATGAGCGAACTCTTCCCCCAAATTCGCGTGATTTTTGACGAACGGACGCAGTGGATCAAACCCGGAGGCGGTGCTTGACCGGAACGTGCCGTCGCAAACTGTCGCCGTGGCGAACGCATAAGTCATGAATATGTACGACGCGGCGCGCACGATCATA